GGACAAGTATTCAGTAGGTCTCACAGCAGAGAGTAACAATGGCAAGAAAACAGACAACAGCGTAGGGACATTTGGGGCTGTTATGCAGATTTATGAACTCCTCCATGGCAGAGAGCAAGAGCCCAAGCCTGTTATCACCCTTTACCTCTCCCATGCTATCATGATACCCACACCTGGCAAGGTCACACCATGTGTTTTCCTGTGGCTTTGCGTTGCCTCGATTCTCTCCAAAAAAGAGCCATCATCACCAAAAGCTGTCCCTCCTGGTGGTGCCCTGCTCACAGGAGGCCCTACAGGAGATGCACATCTTAGGAAGCATCCTAGTATCACAGCCCTTGCCCTAGCAGTCTAGGCACACATCCAGGAGGCCTCCCTGTAACTCCAAGCTGCTACACATTTCAAAATTCCATCACAAAATTCCACAGGTCTGTTGAGGGGCCTGAAAGCAGTGCCACCTGCTGAATTCAGCAGATGTGTTCTTCATTCAACAGAGTATTGGAAATGTTACCACCTATGTAAGACCGCACAAGCCCTCAAGGTTCTTCACATGCCAAGCCCTTCCTCTGCACCTTTACAAGGGCTGGTGGCTTGTATAAAACTTGTGACCACTGAGTTCCTTTTAAATCAGCTGATTTACCAACTCGGAAACTATGCCTCAGGCTGAGAGCATGCATGAGGGCTCCAGTCCAAACAAAGCTACAGCTCCGACTGCATATTTAACTCCTTCACGTTCTGCAAGATGAAGTGAGAAGCAGATGAACAGAGAACTTTTTTTGAATGCAACACTGTAGAAGAACTAACAAACAAATAAACCCCTGCATCATTTTGCTTTCACATATAGACAAAGCCAAACTAACTAATGCTGCCAATACTGGATTATTTAACCTTTTGCTCTGCAAAAGTTACCTTCCAAATAACAGGAATCCCGCAGTTCAGTTGAAAACTTCTTTTTGATGCTTAATACTGGTCATCTTTAAATTATAGTAGAAATTCCACCAGCCTTAGTGCAGTTGGATCTTTACTGACGGTGATCTGTGCCTCAGCATACATCCTTATTATAATGAATGTTAGCAGGTTCTACTTCCTGCCACTTAGGTAAATAAAATAAATGCATGTAACAGTCCAAAATTTTTCTGCAGGTCAGTAAACACCTCTTGCATTTCATTAGAAGTTTACAATCAATGTATTTCTGATCCCAAAAAGGGTACTGAACAGCTACTTCTGACCATTTGTCTAGTCAAAATAAACAAGGCTGAGGGTCAGATGCTTTAATCTGAAATTTGATCTAGGGGAATTGTAAAAATCAGCAACTCACCACTGTGTGCCACAGACATAACTGGTAATGGTACAGCCTGACTTCCTCCTCCTTCAGAAGCCTCTCTATGCACAGCCAGCCTCGCTCCTCACAACATGGGAGAGTTTTTGAGCAAGCAATAGCTATCAGTTTGTGGGTTTGTCAAGTGGGGTTTTTTGGTCTCTACTCTTATCCTCCACATCCGCAAATGCTGCCAAGTTCTCCCACCTCTGAATTGTTAGAAAAATTGTCTTGTGCGTATTTCAGCTAAGAGAGTGTAAAATGCCACACTGACTTAAACTAGAGAACAGCAGCTTTAATACATTACAGAAAAAAGCATCTCTTACTGTGTATGCATGTCAGGAGACTTCACAGCCCTCAGGTTAACTCAGAAAGACAGATTAACAAAGGTAATTGATTCCCAGTGTACTTCCCACTTTCACCAAGTTCACAGACACCTTGAGATTGGATTTCCAGTAGTTTATATTCCCCTTGGTATGGATCTTACTAAGCCAAGTAACATTCCGTATTTTTATCAATGATCAGAAACTAAAATAAATCTGGGGAAAGGCTAGTGAAATAATAAATCCTAAGGAGGACACGGCAGTACCAGACACAACAGATAACCTGAGGTTATTCAAACATAACATGTATCACAACAAAACACAAAATTAGACATCTGTGATCAAGAAATACCTGGCATACTTACAGAATGCATGTTGGAAAACACTGATTACACTGTTCCTGAAGTATGCCAGAAATGGATCAACAAGGTATAAGCAACTAACGCTGTAGGACCCCCTGTACAATGATCAGCAAAGAGTACAGGTATGCAAATGAGGAAGCAACAGGACCAAAGAGTACTCTGCTTTTCAGGTGACATCAGCGGCGGCAGTGTTACAATGCTGAAGACACTCCAGCTGGTCACATTTATAAACTTTCAGAAAAAAACAGAGTGAGAAGGCAATGGACATAAAAAGGATAGGAGAGCTGAAGAAAATGTTTTACAGTTAGAATCATTAAGACCTCAATCTGTTCATCGTATCAACAGCACTGAGAAGTCACTCAGTGGGAAGGAAATGGCAGCTTCAGAAAGGTTTTTAATCTAGCAGAAGAGAGTAAAAGCACTGGATGGAACCTAAAGCCAAATTAATCACCGTAAAAAGACATTTTTATACCAGTGACGGTGATTAACCGCTGGAACAAGCACAAACAGAAGGATAGGTTTTCCATCTCTTGTTTTGTTTGCATCAAGGCAGGATAACTTTCTGATTAAACCTCTCTTCCAAAATTCAAGTTATACTCTGACTGAATGTACTAACTGAGCTTAACAGTGACACAAGCGAGTGGCCTAGCACCCATACTTCTAACATAAAGTTTAACAAATTAAGTTCTGTTCCTGAAAAAGAGATTGCTTCTAAAGGGCAGGATAAAACTAGATGTACACAAACAATCAGAGAAAGGAAATAAATAACCCATCAGAGTAGCTACAAGGAACAACAACTCTCTTTTTCTGTGTATTTATAGCATTCACTTTAAAGGAAAAAATTCAACAACTCAAAAATCAGAAACACACAGGGATATACCTCTAATTTTTACCAGTTACCTGCCTCAGCTTGGTGCTTCGTGCTAGACAAGTAGATGTTGGCAGCGTAAGTTTGGCTGCATAACAGGTACCAAGTTCCACGTTCAAAACCAGGATGGGAGCACCAGACTGAGAAACTACAACCCTGCAAATCCCAATTAATCACTGCATGACTCCAAAGAAAGTCTGACCTGTAGCTAATTTGATGGAAAGAAGCAGGGATGGTTTCAAATCTCTACTTCTAGGGCTGTGTGCTTAAATTAAGATAAATGGTCAGTGGGTGAAAAACAGAAACAGAGCTGGGAACAGATAGCAGAATTCAGAAATCCCTGCTACCAAGAGACTATCCAAATTACTACCCTACACAAACTTTTTTCCGCTCCCTGTAAGTGGGATTGAGAATTTCACCCTTCAGCCTTGAGCAATGTTAACTAAGGAGTCAGGCAAAACTCTTTTCAGTTGCCTCAGTTCCCTAGTGATTAGCTCTAGACAGCTACACACTGACAATGCTCAGTACTGAGGATGTGCTAGATGCCATACTGAGATATCTCCTTCCAGTTCCCTGGGTTTGAACTCCTAAATCCAAATACAGCATTCTGAATTCCACTTTGGAATAAACACACTTAAAAGTTAAGCCAATGAGGCACTGCATTTGGCTCAAAATACCTATTTGTCCTAAATCTCTGGTCCCGCCTCTTCATCATTAATTTGTCCATAAACAACTAGAGTTGTAAAGTAATATTAATGTGCCATCTTGCAAAAGCTTGTAAGTTTTTAAATGGTATTGAAAATGCAAGACTCATGGTGGACACAGTTCATAGCAGATCTCCTAAAGACTGTTAAGTGGAATTATAGCGAGAAGGATGTCACATAATTGCTGCTCACTGACAAGAAAATTCTACCCTATCACACGTGGATAGAAGAGCAGGAGAGAATGAGATGGAATGTAGGTGGAAGGCTTTGATCTACTTAACTTCTCTAAACACAAGACTGAACAACATATGAAGGGCAAGTGACTACAAGGGAATGATGAAAGATTCTTTATTTCATTTTTAAACGAAAAAATATTTTAAATCTTTCTTGAAAACCAACAGTGAAAATTCGTGTACTGTTGCTGAATTGTCACTGTAAGTCATGTGACAAATTCTATGGTATTTTTTGCCATAGTTCTGTAAAACACAAACAAATAACTCAAGCTCCCAAATGTGTTATCTAGAGATGTTTATGTAACAAATACATTTTTCCAGATGAGATTTTACAAAACAAAAGAAAAAAAAAACACAAACAAAACAAAAACTCTGCAGAAACAAAAGCCTCTTCCACTTAGAATTTACTAGAAATAATCCAAAAGAGTTTGTCTTCATCTTACTGTCAAACCACATTTAGCTTTTATTAGGCATATAAAAAAACTTACCAGAGAGTGATGAAAAAGCTAATAGAGCTGTGTGTCTTTTAGATATTGCTATGCCTTGGCAACTCTCCAATCACCAATACATTTCCAGTGTAGGCTGCTCCATGTTTTTAAACATTATCATTTTAGACAACAAGGAAAAAGGACAAAAACACTGGAAGAAACTTCTAGATCATCTAGTCCATCCTCTTTCTCAAGGCATAACCACATGTCTGTATCTCATTCTGGACTAATATTTATGTAATTTATTAAATTTTAGAGACCACAACTGTGATAGCTCTATGATTTGCCCAATCTATGTTGTTATGTGCTTAATTGTTATTATCAGAAAGTTTTGCATAAGGTCTTATGTGAACCTTCTCAAGCACAGCCTAAGTCTACTGTTTCTTCTTTCATCCACATATTATTTTATTTAACATTATTTGAAGGCTGTTGCCACGTTTCCCTTTCAAAATCTGATCACAGCGAACATGAAGTCCTAGCCAGGATCAGGTGAACAGTAATAAACTGAGGAACCACAGGGAACTAATCACTAAAACAGAGCATAGTGTTAGGAGTAGGCAATCCAAGGCAACATGTTAGGCCACTGTCCCTGGCATAAAATCCACCAATGAGTCAAGAAAAGGAGAACTCTGTCCCCAGAATACCATGCAAAACAAAGGGGTTTCTTGACTACAGGGCTATAGGGCTTACTGTGTTTCATTCCCTACCTCTACTACAGTTGTCTTGGCAGCTTTGCACATAGGTTGGTTGAAGTTTCTTGCAGTTTTTCTGGAAAGAAAAGAAAATGAATAAACATTAAAAGCTGTAATAATACAAGGAAAGACTTTTCAGAGATAAGCTACTACAAGTATCTCTGTAATATAAACATCACAAATCTTTTCACCAGATAGCTAGAGGACTAATAAATAAATAGGAAGGAGGAAAAAGTATTACGGAATTGTGTAAGATATATATGAAATTAAATCATATTTTGCTACATTCAAAAATATTTATTACAGCTCTTTTGACTTTTAATCAGCACATTGTTTAATTGAAATTGGGTATGCTACCGACATCCTCATTTATTAGACCCAAGAGCAGCAGCAAGCTGGGCTTTGTACAATGTACCTTCCCATTATTTCACTGCACAAAGAATGAAATTAATCTCCACAGGGGGACCAGCACAGGGCCTAACAACCTCTCAAGTCCCACATACGCCTTCATAATTCGGACTAGGACTTGGGATAGCACTTTACACAGTAGTAAATTTAATCCAATTCTCTTGATTAAAAAATCTGTGCCAGTTTTGGCACTTACTGCAAGCCTCTGGCATTCATCCTAAGTACTCCCATGCAGTATTTCTGTAACAAGGAAAAAGAACTTCTAGGGAATAAAAGTAACACATAACATGTATAACTGTGCTGGGATCTGCACCGAGATCGTAGTAGGCACAAGGAAAAACAAGTGACCTGTGTTAGCCCCTCTCTGTATTTTTCAGATAACAAACAAAACTGTGTGGCATAATATTTAAGAAAAAGTTATGTATATTTTAGTGCGGTTCCACCGATTGCTTCTCAGCATTTTTCCCTTTTAAAAAGTAGGATTCTTGAAAATTTTTCATCCAAATGCATGAAACTAGGGTTCAAAACAAGTCAAAACATCCTTTCCCCCTCCATCCCCTTTCCACAGAAGCATTTTTTTTCCGACCATCCTTATCTGCCAGCACCTTCT